GCGCTCGCGCACAATAGAGCTGCTCGCATCGGGCAGGCTGCTCAGCGCCTCCTCATCGGCAGCGTACATGTCGAGGTTGGCGCCGTGCTCCACGAGCCAGCGCAAGCACGCAACTTGGCCATGGCTAGCGGCACTCATCAGAGGCGTTCGCCCCTCTCCGTCGCGCGTCTCCAAGCCTGCGCCCCTCTCGACTAGCGTCTTTGCCTCGGCGATTCCGTCAACACTGCAAAGCCAGGTCAAGGGCGTCCACGTGCTTTGGCCTTTTTGCCACAGGCCAAAACGCACGTTCAAAAGCTCCTCTTGACTGCTCCATTTGTTGAGCTCGGCCAGCTCCGAGTACAGCGCGTCGCTATCGCCGCTCGCCAACGCGAGCGCCTTGGAAACCAGCCACGGCGGATCGCCTGCTGCAGCACTCTTGCTCCCTTGCCGGTGAAGCTGAGCCGCCGCTTCGCGCTCGCTGCTGAGCGTGGTCGGCGTCCACGTCTGGCCGTCGCTAAAGTACCAGTGCCTGACGTCCTTGGGATGCATAACATCGGTCTCCTCTGACCGCCATGTGCTGTACACGAACTCGTCCGCAGGATTCCTGACCGTGAAAGGCTTGCCCGCCTTGAGCCGCTTCACGAAGTCCTCGTTCCATCCAGAGAACCAGCAACCGTCTTCGAACCATAGAGCCCGGTCGCTTGGGCGAGTTCGGCCACCTTGGCGCGCCTTCACGCAGACTGGCCGCCCATTGATCTGCCAGCCTGGAACGCTGGAAAACTCGAACTCTCGCTGTCGCATTTCCGCACTAGCCGGCCCCGCGCCCGGAATGGTGCCGCGCAAGCGCAGCACTTGGTCGTCCAATGCTGAGGGTCCGGCAGCGCTCATGTGATGCCACGCTGAAAAATCCCCCGGAGCGACGTCACACGAATCGCCCCCGGATCGGGCAGTCGCGCAGCCTGGGCCACACAGCGGGCTCTCTTCGGGCCCTTTGCGCGGGGCGCCCGAAAGTGGGTTTCTTATTGAACTTGTTTTCTTCAATTCTTTCTTTCTTAAATTATTTTCTTCCAAAAGGATTGTAAACGCTCCCTCTTCGACTTGCCCGCCAAAAGAAAGAAAGTCAATTCAGGATACTCCCTTGTTGCTGCCACTCATGACAAAAACAGCCGCAGCTGTGCTTCACCTCTCTCTGGGGGGAGGCGGGGGCCCCCGGAGGCACCGTGCGCCGCGCAGCAGTGCGGAAACGGGGCCCCGGCTCTATTAGTCTCTATTAGCACCGACTTCCCGAATGATTACACGTTGATTAGAGGGCAGATTTGGAGAGATCGCGAGGAGTACATACAGATAGACCCTCCGACCATCAGAAAACTCCAACCTGATCGGTCGTACTGACCGCCGACAGATCACTCCAAACAGCAGACAGGCCGACGTCTGCACACGGCCGGCCGGGCGAGAGGCTTGACACGATCCGACCCTGCGACCCTGACGCTGCTGCTCTAGCTATCAGACATGCGCTGCTGACTGCTGCCACAATGTGCGACCGGTGCTGGCCCACTTGGCGGCCTTCCCGGTCAGTGGTGAGGCGCAGTTCAGAGTTGTCGATGGCGCGATGCCGCACTGGTCCCACATCGGTGACACGGGACCACCACGTTTGCCGGCCCAAGAGAGAGGCACCGGCGCTGTCCTGAGAAGGTGCATGGTCCCTCTTGACTGCCCATGCGCGCGAGGCTGTTTAGGCATAGCCTCGAGAGTGCCAGCAGCCAATCCGAGGCAGTTTGTGACGCGCATTGCGTCAGAAGCGTGCACGCGCTGGAAGGACACCTTCCTACTGGCCGTACGATCAGGTCGTCACTGAATGCCGAAGACTAAGGCCGCGAGCTATGCAGGCGGTCAGTTGAGCAGCATGGCACGGTCAGCAGCGCCGAAAGGATGTCGCAAGGCGTGATAGCATGGCCGCAAGTACGCCGAATTCCCATGAAAACAAGTAAAAAATAGCGCGAAAAAAGAAAAAAATGTCAAAAAAATCGGCGCCTGCGGCGGGCTGGGGGACCCCATCTCCCCCCCGCATGGGTACCCCCTAGGGCCCTCGCCTCCCCATAGAGTGCTTCACGCGATTTGTGAATTCGATTTTGTGTGTGTGTGACTCCCATCACCATCTCACATACCTTCATATAGGCGGCCGCTCGAGACCTCCTCTCGCTGCCTACTCGCTGCCGCGAGGGAGGGGGGGAAGACGTCGTGCGGGCGCCACTGCGCTCGCCGACCTGAGGCCCCTCCCCGAAAGGGCAAGTATTAGCCCGACACGAAACCCGAGCGAGACCCCTCCCCCCCGCCCCGACCCCCCCACCCCCTTGGGGCTAAGGCCCTTGCTCCCCTCCCCCCCTCGGGAGGGCCGAAGAGAGGCGCCCGTGGGGACCCCGCAATTCCCTTCCCCCCTCGGAGGGGGCCGGACGAGGCTTACCCCGAGGGTCCCACTCTTTCCTTCGCATAGCGGCCACTCTTCGGGATCGCTGGTCGAGAGCGACCCGGGGGATGCCCCGCGCGCCTGACCCAGGCGCGAAAACGAATCTGCGAGGCGTGGCCGCTCATGCGGCCCGATGGGGAGGAGCGGGGCGGACTGCGGGGATCGGCTTCTTACACAGCCCTTCCCTGCAGCGAGCCCCCCTCCATCCAACCCACCCGCGCTATAGGTCTCGGGTTTGACGCATGGGGTCACTCCCGCGAAACTCGCTCGGGAACTAGCCGGGGCAGTCGGAGAAGGGGCAACTCCGTGCACTGACGGTCGGCCGTCAGAAAACACGCCTCCGTGGCTCGGGTTAGATCTACACCAATCCTCGCTACCCGTCCGTACCTATTAGGTAGCCGGGTACCCAACGCGGCCAAAGGATATCCACCTCGAGAACCTCAGGCTCAGCCCTCTGGGGCGCCATGGAGGGTGCTGGACCGCTTTGGAGGGTGGACCGGTCCAGCGCAGCTCGAACCGGTCCTGGACCGGTCCTGTGGGGGGAGAGAGAGGTATGCGGTGAGCGGGCGGGAAGGGTTCGAGCTCTTGATGTTTTTAGGTATGTTGTGAGTGTGAATTGAGAGTACAGGCTGGCCGCAAAAAAAGGGACTCGAATTGGGCTCTTGCGGGCGGCCAAGCTCATTTAACGACTAAGAAAAAAGAAAGTCGAGTCGCGCCACGGACCGAGGCCCTCCTGTGTCCTTCGCCAGTCCGATCTGCAGAGAGAGTGTGTCTGACGGCAGGCGCCTCCCGGCGGTCGCAATAGGCGACTCAGGTTGATGCGAGCGGCGGCTTGCGTGAGTGCATTGGCTGCATCGCTCCTCCTCGTGCACCTGCTCGCATCACGCCGCCGACGCCGACACCGAAGCACTGCTGAGAGCGGCCTTCTCTTCACGGGCACAGGTTGCAGCTCTGGGCTGCCGCTCATCGGCTGTGCGATTGGCGCTCCGCAGTCGCCAGAAAAGTCATGCACCGCGTGCGGCCCCGCGCTCCGCAACGGCCGCGCCGATAAGAACTGGCGCAACAACGTCGGAGCACTGCTGCGCTTCCGAGGCGCCGATGGCCAGACAAAGCACGTGCAGATCGACTGCGGCAAGACATTCCGCGACACGTGCCTCCGCGTGTACAGCGAGCACGGCGTCACCTGGCTGGACGCGCTCCTACTGACACACGACCACGCGGACGCTGTCTTTGGGCTGGACGAGCTCCGCTCTCTGCAGCCGGTCGAGCCAGGCGCACCTCCTCATCGCCTGCTTCTGCGGAACCAATCCCGTGGACCTGCCCGGAACCTTGCTGCAGGCACGTTCCGCATCCTCTCCTCGATCACCTGCTTCTGCGACCGCCGCACGCTCACCCGCATGCGGCGCGCCCTTTGAGACCTTTCTCTTTTGAGAAGCCCGCTACGACCTTCGACACCTTACCTTCTCGGAACCTTGGCGCAGGCACGCCTTTCCTTACCTGTTCAAGAAGCGGGCGGCTGCGCCTCTGCGGCTAAACTTTGCAGACTTGTGCCAGTGCCGCCCGTTCGACCGCCGAGCCTCCGCCTAACTCATCCCTGAGTCAACACCACCAGTCCTTCACCACGCAGGTGCTGCGAGCTCGACCTCGAGCCTCTACCCGCACGTCCAGGCACGCTTGCGCCCGTGCCTGGCGGGCCTGCCGACGGGCCCGCTGTATCCATTGCCGCTGCCACCGTCATTGCCGCCGCCCCTGCCGCCTCCTCCTCCAGCGGTGGTGCGCCAAGGCAGATGGCGGTGGCGGGCGGAGGGTCTCTGGACGGTGCTGCAGCTCCGCCGCCTGCTCCTGCGGTGCGGCGATTCGTGGCGAGCATCGAGTGGGTCTCGTTCGGAGATGCGTTTGAGGTGGCGGAGCTCGAATAGGGTCGGTCTCTTGGCAGACACGTCCATGACGCGTCCCATGTCGGCAGGTGGCGGAGCTGGACGTGGTCGGCCTGGCGGTGACGGCGCTGCCCGTGCTACACGGGGCGGACTACACCTGCTACGGCTTTGCATTCGGGCCGCCGCAAGAGCGCGTGGTCTACCTGTCCGATTACACCGCCCTGCTGCCGCAGACAGACGCGCTGCTCGCATCGTGGAGCAGTGGCGGGGAGGCGATCCACTTGCTCGTGCTCGACGCGCTGCGTGCCGAGGGCAGCCACCCCGCCCCATCTCCCCCCCCGTGGCCACGGCACACCCACGACACGTCCACGGCGCGTCTCGTCAGGCAGCCACCCCGTCCACGCCACTCTCTCCGAGTCGGTGGAGCTCGCGAGGAGGCTCCGCCCGCGGTACACGCGGCTCGTCGGCGTCAAGGAGCTGCCCACAAAGTGTCTGCTCACAGTCACTGCTGTGCACAGGCGAACACTGCTCGTCGGCATGGGACACGCGCTCGAGCACCACGCGACAAACCGGAGGCTCCGCCGGCTGTGGCGAGAAGAGCAGCTAGACGTGCAGCTTGCGTTTGACGGCATGTTTGTGCCGTTGCCGGGCCTGGACGTGGGATGAGAGAGTCTTGTTTCTGTGTTGTGAAGAGAGAGAGGGTAGTAGTGTAACATGGACAAAATTGAGGGATTGGTCAGAGGACATGCGCACATCGAGAGAGCCAGAGAGATAGAGGGACCCTCTGGAGAGGACACATGCGGCACAACAGCCACCCACACATTTGTGATATATCCGCCCGCTCGGCCTCAGGCCTCCCCGCCCGGGCCGCCTCCGCGGAGCTTGGCGGCGAGGCTACTCAAGTCCTCCTCCACTGTATGCTCCAGCACCTCCGCCTCGTGCTCCAGCGCCGCCGCAGACCAGGCCGCGGACTGGGGGAGTGCCGCCGCCGACGCGGCCAGATCCTGCGCCCACCCGCCGCTGAGGGCCTCTGCCTCGACGCCGCACAGCGCAGCCGCGCGCTCGGGGAAGCCGCGAGCCATGCCCTCCTTGACAGCGTCAAAGACCGGGGATTTGGAGAGGTAGATGCCCCAGAAGGCCTCGCACAGGCCCGGCTCGCTCAGCGCCTTTTTGGACGCGTCGTCGGCCGCGCCGAAGGCGACCGACATCGTGCCCGCCTCGCACGAGAGAAAGATCTCGTCGCCGGGGTGCAGCCCGCCCTGCGCAATCTTGTTGGAGGTGAGGGCGCCGCTGAGGTGGCGCAGCGTGGTGGCGGCGGTGGCTTGCGGCAGCCGCGGTGCGAGGTGCTTGTTGATCGATTCGGCCACCTCATCGATCGACGCGGGGTAGTGCATGTGCAGCACCATCATCTTCGCGTCGCCAGAGGCGACGATTTCGGAGAAGGGTGCCTGGTGATGGTGAGGAGGTGGGATGGTGATGGTGAGGAGGTGGGATGGTGATGGTGAGGAGGTGGGATGGTGATGGGGAGGAGGTGGGATGGTGAGGAGGACGCCTCGGCCGGGTCGCACTCGTGGAAGTAGTCGCGGGAGAGGTAGCTAGCCGCCGTGTAGACCTTGACCAGGCCGTACTCGTATCGGTCCCCGCCGCCCGAGAACCAGAGCTCCTCGTCCCCCACCGCAAGCGCCGACGGGAAGGCGACGCCGTTGAGGATGCGTGTGGAAGCGTCGTGCGGCAGGTTGGAGGCGGGCTCGCCCGACGGCAGGAGGAGGTAGTTGAGGCCGCGGCAGAGTTTGCACTCAGCGAGGGAGGAGGTCGAGCAGAGCGCCAGGCTGCCGCCGATCGCCAGCGCCATAACGGCGATGCTGCAGAAGGCCGCCAGGCAGCAGCGCCCCCAGCAGCGCCGCCGAGGAGGCGGAGGCGGCGGCGTGGCGGCTGCTTCGAGGTCCACCTCCGAGGCGGGCCAGTCCTTCGACGGCGTAGCGGCGGGTGAAGACATCACTTCGAGCGGTAGAGGTCCTTGAAGGCTGGCGAGAGAAGGACTTCAGCTGGTTTTACTTTTTCACTTGTTGTTCTTTTTCAGTGTATGAAGCTCTTACGTACATTCCCGTAGGAGGACTGCTGACAGGGTTTGCGATGAGGAGCGACCCGACGGGTTTCTCGGAGGTTAGTGCACCACTAACTAACCGCGCTTGTGGCCGCTCTGTGTATCTCGAGAGCTCGAGAACCTCGAGAGAAGGCCGCCCTCCCCGAGGGCCCAAGTCAAGAATTGGCTTTCTTTTGGCGGGCAACACTAGCCGCCGAAGCGCAAGCGCTTGGAGCAAGAGAACTGCGACGGATCGGTCTCATACTTTTTGTAACTCCTGTTGTTGTGTATGTGTACGCAATAATAGGACAGGATGATTGTTCTCTCTATCTCCCCTTCTAGCTCTTAGATCTAAAACCAAAACACGACGCGATCTTTGTCAAGCGCAACAACTTCCACCTGCTGCTCCACGAGACGTTCGGCGGCGGCTTCTCGCCCACCGCCGTTCTCAAGCTGCGCCGCCTCGCGCGCAAAGTCGCGCGCGGCAGCGTCGACCGCACGGCCTACTCGCCCAAGTACTCGCTCTCTTTTATGTCCTACCATGCAGAGCGCATCTCTCTCTCTGTTGTGCGAGGCGTGAACCGCGCCATTCGCTCTCACCTGGCAACCCTGTCTGCACGTCTCGCGCGCGCGTGAACAGGGCCGCAAAGCTGTCCCCCCCCCCCCCGCAAACTTTAAACCACCATAAACATCATTGTGCCAGGGCTCCAGGCCCCAAATGACGTGTGAGTGTTAGAGTTGTTTGGTATTGCTAAAAATCCCTCTATACTCTAATCTAGATCTAGCATGACCATGAGCAGATGAGCTGCGACCTGTGTCCGACCCCCTGTTGCGCGCAGCATCACCTTAAACTTTGCGCAGAGGGCACCCCGGAGGGATGCCCAACCGCTCCACGCCACGGGGGGATGCCCAACCGCTCCACGCCACGCCGCTTGCGGCGGTCGTCTTGGCTTGTTTTCTTTTAGCCTTGCCAGGAAAGGGCACCTGGGCCCCCCCCGAAACAATGCTTCGTGTGGCGCTCCGCAAGCTCGCCGCGCCTGCGGCTGCCGCTGCGGGTGTCGCCACTGCTGGCGGCGCGGTCCACGCACAGGAGGAGCGCAGGCGACCGGCGGCCGGCGCGAGAGACGGCGCGTGCTCCGGCGACGCTGCCCGCTGCTCCGCGGCCGCCGCTTCGCCTGCGGAGGCCGCGATACCGCTCTGGCAGACGGCGGCCAACCTGGTGGCTGCCAACCCGTTCAAGTCGGTCTTCGGCGTCGCGGCGCCGCTGTACGCCGCCATCTTTGCGTACGAGTGCTCGTCGCCCGCAACCAAGGACCTCCCGCTCTCGCAGCGGCTGATCCACACGCGGGTATACGGGCAGGCCATCGCGATCGGAGCGACGATCGCGGTCATGGCGGTCCTGAACGCGCAGGAGAAGCGCGGCGGCCTGCCGTACGGCCAGACGGAGGCCAAGCCAAAGCATTCGGAGCTGACTCGCCTGTACGACGGCACGATGCGCCGAGCGAGCGGCAGCAGCAGCTTGCCGCAGGGCTTGCACGACCGGCAGGCGTGGGCGGCGGATAACGTCGACAACTACGGCCTGAAGATGGAGCAGGCGCAAGCAAAGCGTGATTTCGGCTCCCGTTCTCTGTCTGACGGACTTGGCTGACTCGCTGCAGGTGATCGTGCCGCTGCTGTACATGCCTGCCTTCCCGTTGACCTTCATACTCCTCCGCTCGCGCGTCAGACCCGAGACGCTCAACAAGGTGCGAGAGATGCACACGATCAGAGCACAACCGAGGCGATCCGCAGTAGCGGGATGCATTCACCCCGAGACGCCCCCCAAAGGTGCTGGCCTCCATGATCGCTATCGCCGCCTCGCACGCCGCGTGGATCCAATTCGGTGCGGCTCTCCTTCTCGGCTAGTCCTCGGCTAGTCCTCGGTGCAGCTCGCCTTCGTTGCACCCTTTGGCGCGTCTCGGAACGCGTCCTCTGAAGGCGTCCACGACACCAACGGGGCTCCGGCTCCTCCCGTTAGGCGACTCGTCGATGACTGGCGCTTGAGGATCCCGACCTCCACATCCCGCGCTCCGATCCTCCGTGATGACTTTGCCTTCGCGAGGAGTGGACTCGCGCGTCGCCGCGCCGCCTCTTTGCCGCCGAAACGTACACCATGGCTGCTCTCCTGCCACCTTGTGCCAGTACTCTCGAGGTGGCCGGCGCTGGGGCCACACACATGCGACACAACGACGTTGCGACATGCGAGCCGCGAGCCCCGCGGTAGCCGGTGGCGCTAAACGCTGATGCGCCCGACTCCCGCCCGGGCGCTCGCGGTGGCCGCGTGTGTGCCAGGCCGGGGTGATGTACACTCGTATGCTGGCTCTCTTTTTCTTCTCTACCGAGTACCGACTACCGTCTACCATACGGCGGTAAGGCATACGCATACCCGATATACCGCCCCCCAAGAGTTGCGGCCCAAGCCCAAGCCTGGCGAGTAGAGGCCCCGCCCACCCAGGGTACCCCAAGCGGGCAAAGAGACCGCGTGTGTCGAGATACTGATAGTCGCGCGCGACACACACGGCTATATAGTGTACGCAGGCCGACCGGCGCCGCCACAACCCGCGGCATTTTTTGGCGAATTCGATATACGCGGCTTTACTCTTCTCGTGGCTCGCGTGGGTGCTCCCCGGCTCGCGGCAGCCGCACTGCCCGCACAAGGTCAGTCGCATTGTACATACGTACATGTGGATCATGGTGCCCCATGCGCCATGCCAAAGGGCTGGGCTGACGAAACTACGATCCTGAGTTCGACGTCACTCCTCACTCCTCGTCAGTTTCGTATCCCGCATGTCTCCGACCATATCCCTGAAGCGTGAAGGCGTCGTGACTCGCCTCACCCTGCTGTGCTGCTCCTGTGATTTTTACATATTTGGTCGAGTCGTGTCGCGAGAGGACCTATCGTCTCAGCTAGCTAGTCCTGTTCAGCGCCATCGACCGCGCCAATCTCACCGCTGCAGCATCTCTCGCAGCCTGGCGTACCCTGCGCGGTCGTACTCGCAGCGGAACGAAAAAGGATCACCAACGCTGCGGCTAAGGTTGAAGAGCTGGTCGCGATTGGTGCACACCTGGAAGCCCCAGCATCCACACTCACCAAGTCGCGCGCACGTGCGTGCGTCCGTGTGAGTGTGCGCGGCGCCTCGCTCAACACGCACGCCTCGAGGAAGTAGACGTGGTTCTCGGCAAAGTCGCCGCAGCCTACACATACAGTTTCGAGGCTGTGCTCCACCTTCGCCCTCCCTCTCCCCGTATCTTTCTCTCGTTGCCTGTGTGCGGCACTAAGAAGCTTCCGCTTTGCAGCCGACGTGTGTCCAGCCGCGAGAGCGGGAGCGAAACGACGAGCTGGCCGCGGAGGCGGGCGTGCACCGCCGCAGGCGCGAGGCGGCCGCGGAGCGCGCACATCAGCCACTCAAGATTCTTGCACATCGTCCACCCACCAATGCGGAGGATGGAGACGTTTGCGCTGTGGGGGACAGAGGACGCGCCCGACAGCTGAGAGCGGGAGCGCGACGGGACTGCGAGCAGGAGTGCTCGGTGCGTCTAGCAGCGGTAGCGCGGCGAGAAAGTGGGCACGCACCGCCGGCAACGCTCGCGGTGCTCGCCGCGGGCGACCCAGCCCTCGCCGAGCCGTGCGTTGCAGTACTTGAGCGTCGTGTCGGAGAAGCCGAGCACCGCCGGGGCCGCGGGCGGCACGCCCCAGTCCCGTTCGCATGCCGCGCCGGCCTCCACCCGAGCAAACCACTGCTCGGCCCTCGCGCCACCGCCCCAGCATGCCTCCTCCCCTTCCTGCCTTGCACACCAGGCCCGCCGCCCCCACATCCCGTAGAAGCGGCTGCCTGGACCCGCCGCAAGCATGTCGCGACAGACACCGGGCGTGAGTCGACCCACGCCGCCGCCGCCTGAGTGGCCGTGATGCTGGGCGGCGCTCGGGTGGCCGCGGAGCCGACCACCGCCTTGGCTGCGGTTGCCTCTACCCCTGCCCCTTGCCGCCCTCGATTGCTGGAAGCTGCACAGCAATCTCTGCCTCTGCAAGGCCACGCAGCGCGGAGGCGCCTCCCCATCTCCGTCCCCTCCAGCCCAGTGGCAGGCGTGGATGTACAGACGGTCTGGCGCCGCGACGAAGGATTGCACGCAAGCAGAGCGATTGACCTGGTCCGCACACCCGAGTGGCGGGATTAGCAGCCTCCGTGTGGCCGTCCAACCGCACGGGAGGAACGGCGGAGTCTGCAGCGGCAGCACGTCCGAAGTGCGGTGTGCGGCTAGAGAGTATGTGGCGGCGATCACAACGAGGAAGCCAATCATCCGTGGTGCTGACCACGACGCGGCTTGGCGCTTGGATTCCAGCTCCTTGTGCGACTCCTCGATCCCCATCGCCGCGCGCACATAGTCGGCGGGCATCGATCGCGGAAAGATGTGAAGCCCGCCAATCAAAAGAAACAAAATGACTAGCATGATATCCTCCCCATCTCCCCAGATCTCCCCATATCTCCCCATATGCGTCCATGAAAAACTGTACCACCAGTCGCGCGGCGAGAGAGGGAAGTCAAATCATGTGAGTGGATGGTGGCTCGTATGGGACGTAAGAGTTCAGCCTCCACGTCCATTGCTCAACAGTGGCGCGAAACTCCGCCTTCCCGGCGGCTCCCGATCTGGGCTTCCCATCTGAACCATCTGGCAGAGTTCTGCCGGTGGGATCTTGGCAGACTTCATCCTCCATGGTCCTGGCTGAGCCGTCTCTAGGAAGGGGCTCCAGGCGGGACGAGTCGCAGGCAGAGAGTCTGGTGGCTAGCCCGCCTCCAATAGCACCAAACAGTACCACCGCACTTGCGATGATAACAAGGCGAGCCGCCGTGTCATGTGTGGGCCACGCGTCCGCTAGGTCGAGCGTGAAGAGCCCAATCACAGCCGCGGCAAGCGGGCCGACACCGCCCTGGCCTCTGGGTGGGCCATACGCCGGATCATACCACGCTTGCGCATTCTCACCTGTTCTTTCGCGCAAGCCTACTCCAGAAATGGCCATGGGAGACAGCGGTAGTCGGCTCGGAGGAACCAGTGGTGGTGGCGGTAGCGAAGATGGCTGTTGCGGCTGGGGCTGACGTGGCTGACGTGGCTGAGGCGGCTGAGGCGGCGGCGGTAGTGGCGGCGGCGGCAGCAAAGGCGCGACTTCTATAGAGAAAACCCCATCTGCACCAGCGTTTTAAAGTGAAATCGTCAAGAGAAATCGATGCCCCGGGCTGGGCTTTGGGGTAGGCAGCCACCTTTTTGAAGGTGAGGCGTATCTGCCGACCTGTGAAGACGCTTTACTTGCGAGCAGTGCGAGGACCAGATGGCGCGAGGGCACCGCAACATGGCTAAGGAGGCAGGGAAGCTTCTGCTCCAAGACGGCCGCTCAGGACCGCAAAATGGTGTTCCTGAAGGTTGTGTCAGTCGGGCTGGCCAGTCCCCGGGGCCTGACGGTCCAATGTTTCCCTCAAGAGTACTTCTCCCCTACCCCACCCTTCCACTTTAGATGTGTCGGACCATATGTTGGATCCTAGCAGGGCTGCCATCGCCATGCTGACTGCGGTGCCCAAAGCTACTGCCGCAATTCGGATGACGGGCGGACTTTCACGTGCAAGCGTTGTGCACAGTGGAACCCGCTCAGGCTATCCACCTCAGTCACCAAGATGGTGCCGCCTGCGTGCATGGCTCTGGAGCGGGAGCGTGGGATCGAGCGTGGCCCATGTGAGGAGCTCTTCGCCAGCGCTTGTCCGTGCTCGCGCCACGGCTGCTGGAGGGCAACGGCCTGCACCCAGTCGGTTTGGAGTGAAAAATCAAGCGGCGGCGACAAAGGGACCCTGCCAGGCACAGTCTCGGCACCAGCTACATCAGCGGCCATTGTGACGGGCCTCTTCAAGAACGAATCCTTTCCTTTACACGTGGAAGCCAGAGCAGAAGACGGCAACCACAGCGAGCGCCATCGAGAGAGCGACTCCAAGAGCGGCCTGGCGAGTAGAGGCACATATAAACTCGGGACACGAAGACAAGCAGGAGCGGTTACTATTGGGGTTGCTGCGGTCTCTGCGTGCGGTCAAGACGACACTGCCCGTGCATACCATGATCTTTGACGGCACCCTCCAGAAGCCAAGCCTGCTGCGCCTTCGCCGGCTCGGGACACGCGGGCTGCCGATTGCACCTGACGCCTTTCGGCCTCCGCCTTGGGCCATGATCAAACGGCGCGGGACTTTTGCCAAATTGGCTGACGCTCACGAGGTCGCGGCTTGGCTCGACAATGACTGCAGGGCCGTGCGGAATATCGACAGCCTCGCGCTCGCGCCCACGCCCGCATTCGCCTTTGCGTCGCAGGACTTTGGGCTCAACTCGGGCGTCATGGTGATTCGACCGAGCCTCAACGATTCCGCACAAGTCCTCCAGCTCCTTGCGCAGCCGGCACCGCCCAAGCAGTGGCGCTGGACCAAAGGCTTTGATTGGCCGGTGTATCGTGCCCGGCGCGCGAGGGAGGCGGTGGCGCTACGGACCAGGAGCTGTGGACGGCCTTGTTCAATGCCAAAGCCATGGCTGATGGCAGCGCGGTGTACGAGCTGCCAACGGGTTTCAATTTCCGCTGGTTTTGGCAGATGTCGCACGCGGAGCGCTGCAAAGTCTCGATCAGTGCACTTGTGGTGTTCGGGGCAATTGCATGAGGCTAACTTCACGCAGATGCTCGCGGACTCGTGCAGCCTGCGCGTACACGACGACGCGTTCATTAGTTAGCAGTAGCCACACAGCTGAGCACAGAGGTGATCTGGCAGCAGCTGGTGGGCGTCCTCCCCCGCGAGACGCAGTCGTCGTCACCGACACACACCGGCGTCACACTGCCGGCGTCTGAATGAAAAAGCGGGTCGTGCAGAGCTGTTGTGACATGTCTGTGACTAAGCATTTCTCGCTGGAATCCTCGATCCTTATTGCGGATGCAAGTAATAAACAGGGGTCGATGGGAGACAAGCCACAATACCTCCCACTCGCAATCGGGTGCTTACGTATCTGTCGCGAACATCCAATGCCATTATGCAGATCTCCTCACAGGATCGTACCCGCCCGCGGCTGTACACATGACCAGATGCACGGTCGGCTGCCCTCGCCCCTCTGCCTCCCGAGTGAGTGCAGCGAGCTCAGGAGAGAGGGGGCGTGGGGCCAGAGGACGGCTCGGCGCCGTCGAGCTGGAGGGCGGAGAGGGGGGGGAAGACCGGGCCCGCACATCACACGCGGCCCAGGAAGTCGTCCCCCCAATCCTGCGCCACGCCGTCGCAGTCCATCGCCCCGCCCTCCCCGAAGGTGGCCTCGGCGGTGGGGCCCATGCCGGGCGGGCAGACGCCCGGCGGGTGCGGGAAGGCGCGGTGCGGGTACTGGTAGTGGAGCGGCGTGGTGGTGCCGCCGCCCCCGCCGCCGCCATTGTGCTGCGGCGTCCCGCCGTACTGCGGCGGGCCCTGGCCCATGTGGAGCGAGGCCTGGGTGGCGGGTCGCTTGCGGGACAGGTCCTCGGTGCCTCCGGTGCCTGGAGGGAGAGGTGAGGGTGCGATTGGCTAGGTGGATACAGTGAGTGGCTGCAGCACGGCCGAATGCAGCCGAGTGCGCGTCTTCTCGAGTTGGAACCGAGGGACCTGCACATCTAGAGGCTTGCGCGCCGTACCCGCCGCTGCGCGCAAAGGCGGAGAGCTCTGCGGCGGTGACGCCGGTCGAGCGGCAGTGGAAGGCCATCGCCGAGGCGAGGACGACGAGGGTTCGCTCCCACTCCTCCTCAGGGCATGAGTGAGAGTGGGAGCTGAGCGAGCTGCTGACCTCCTGCCGAACCTCCATCGCCAGCCGATGCCCGCGGCTGCCCGCGAGGTTCGCGCCCGACGCGTCCCCCCACCAGCCGACCGACGTAGGGCCGTATGTCCTCCCCGAGGCGCGGTGCCTGAGGGCGGAAGAGCAGCGGGTGAGCAGCTGGGGCGAGGGCGGTGAGTCTGGGAGTCGCCCGTGCGCCACGGCTGCAGCAAATGCTCGGTCGTGTGGTCCGAGATGAGCCCGTCGGGTGCGAAGGCGGCGTACGATGCGCCAGCCTCGCCGCAAGGCAGGACGGTCGCAAGGCCTCCGTACTGGATCGCCGGCGGGCGCTGGTTGTCGGCCAGCTGGGACGCCGGGGCCGGGGCGGCCCACGGCGGCGGCGGCGCGGCGGGCGCGGGGGCGCCGACCGCCTTTGCGGCGCACTCGCTCGCGCAATGCAGCCGGCAGTAGGTGCGGCGCAGCACGCCGAGCTCTTGCGCGCTCATCAGCGTGTAGGTGGAGGGGAGGGCGTCGCAATGCGGCAGCGAGAGAGCGGCCGAGAGGCGGACGGGGCAGTCGGCGAGGCCGCACGGTCCGCTGCCGTGGTGCGACTTGACGGCGATCACGTACTCGGGCAAGTAGGTGGCGACCAGGTCGTTGATGAGCCTCGCCGGCGGCGGTATGCCGTCTGCGGCGTCGTGCTCGTGCTGGACGGCCGTGACGGAGACCTGGAGAGGACGTGCGACTCAGGGACAACTCGCGGAGGTCGCTCTCTGCAGGAGAGGCGGAGAGCCTGCTCCGGCTCGAGCTGCGCCTTGAGGGCCGCCTCCTGGTACGCCTCGAGGCGGAGGGGCCGGTCCTCGGTCGCGGTCAGCACCGCCATCATCCTCTCGAACGGCTCGTCGGCGGCGAGGTCCGCCTAGCAGGGGGGGGTTCGGCGGAGGGTCAGAGAGAGAAGGCTCCACCGCCTTCTCGAGGAGTCGCCGGGTGTGCGCCGGGTTTGCGGCGCGGGAGGAGTCGTAGAGCAGGCCGATGCATGCGTCGAAGCGGAGGGCGAGGAAGAGCGGGTGCTTGCACTTGTTGCGGAGGTTGGCCGCAGAGAGGTAGTTGCGCAACCCATCGATGGAGTTGTCGATCGGCTGCCGCACGAGGCCCTTGTCCACCTACGAGAGGAAGGGGGTCGCCGCGGTGTGGGAAGGAGCGTGGCTTGGGCAGTGCCCAGCAAGTGCGTGCGAAGTGTCTGCGAACCTTCTCCATCACGCGGTCGAGCTTGTCCGGCGCAAACGGCAAGTGCGCCGCGACGCCGCCGCCGCCGCCGCCGCCGCCTCCCCCGCCCCCCGCCCGGCTGGCACCGCCGCCCGCCGCCTTGCTGCCCGCGCGCTCCTTCGGGTTCCTCTTCCTCGCGTCCACCCGGATCGGCGGCGAGATGAGCGCCGCCGCGATGCACATGGCCGCACTCAGCCGCTGCGGGTCCGTCTGCGGAGGAGCTTGGACCATCACCACGGCCGCCTGTCCACACGCTGGCCGTGAAGTGGACGCTGCCACCTGTCGGTCACCGGCGCCATCGCCCAGGCGCGACCGCGTCGGGCGTGCTTGGCAGCGGCATGCCCGCGGCGCCAGCAGCGAGCGTCATCGCAGCCTTCGCAGCCGCCGGCGACGCGGCGCGCGCCCTCACGTCGGTCACCGCGGCGGTCGCCTCTACGCGCGGGACGAGCAGCGACGCCATCAGGTGCATGTGCCGCCCCTTGAGGTTGTACGAGGTCGTCTTGAACGAGAGCGAGGTGAAGGAGGCTGACCCCGACACGAGCGGCCGAAGCGTGCCTCCCTCGAGCCCGCACGAGGTGGCCGCTTCGCAGGCGACGTCGACGGTGACGGCGGAGAGGAGGACGGCGGCGCGCTCGGGCAGCGGCCCGCCGTCTTCGCGCCACACCTGCAGGCAGGCTCCGAGAAGGGCTCGGGGCACGGGTCGCCGGGGCCTCAGCCTCCATGTCGCCGCCGCGCCTCGACGGCGATGCGCGGCAGCGTGCAGTTCTTGTGCCACGCCCACGAGGGAGGGTCTCCCTCCTGAGAGAGAGGGGAGAGGGGCGCCGGTGAGGCTCCGCCGGACGCTGCTGCGCGTCTCGGCGCGGCGGCGGCGGTTGCGCGGCGGTGGCTTGCGCGGTGGAGGCAGAGACTCGTGTGTGTGAGCGATGAGGGTCAGGCGCAGCAGAAGGCGCCAGCAGAGCGCCGCGCATCCGCTGACTGCTGCGCGTCTCGACGCGGCGGCAGTTCGCGCAGCGCACGACAGCTGGTAAAGGGTGACTCGCGCGCGGGCTGCGCCCACCTGCAGCGGCGGCCGCTCCATCTTGACGCGGAGCTGGCAGGTCGAGGCCGAGCGTGAGCGGCCAGAGTGCGACCACGGAACGGCCGCGTCAGCCTCCGACCCCGTGCCAGACAGCAGCGAGTAGTTGGTCACGTCCCACTCGAAGCTCTTTGGCGGTCCGGGGAGGCTCGCGCTCTGCGGGAGGGAAGCAGGAGGATCAGGTGAGCCGTCAGCACCGGGCTGCCCGTCCCGAAAGGAATATGTTCCCTCCACCGCGCGCACCTGCTGCTCGATGTAACGCGATATTTGCTCCTCGATGGAGCTCTCGGGCGTGATCGCGACCGCCTGCATCATGAGAGTAGATCTGCAGCTCGGTTTGAAGCTGCGCCTTCGGAGTAGCTGCACCTGAGCGCGCGGCGTGCGGGACGTCAAGTGGGCGCTCCACAATCGAAGGCGCTCCGTCTTAACGTGGGGGGTGCTTAGATTGGCTGTTGTTTGATGGCCAAATTGGCCCACTGCCCAGGATGGGTGAGACTGGTTGTGGTGTCACCTGGCCCGGCAAAGAGGCTGCTCCAGCCGTACCCACGTAGGCGGAAAAGAAAAATGAAGCGCCCTAGGGTTGCGCAGCTATGAACAGGAGCGAGTTCGCGCTGCGCTAGGCTCAGACGGCGAGTTCGCGCTGCGCTAGGCTCAGTACGGCGAGTTCGCGCTCTGCACCGCTATAGCGGCTAGGCTCTCTTTTATGGAGAATTTATCTCTCGGCTGCGTTGGCTCGCCAAAGTCTTTCTTCTCGATGGCGCTGGGTCCGCTCACTGGGGCGGGCGTGGGTGTGCGTGTTTTGTAGAGAAGCAAAAACGCACGTCGTCCGGGTTCTGTCGTGTGTCGAGCGTGCGGGCGGGGAGGGCCCCCGCCGAGGGGCGAGGGCGAGGCGCTGAGAGCGGCCTGTGGCGAGAGCTAAGATAGAGCAGTGGCCAGTGCGAGAGTTACACACGACACACACGACACGACAGGGACACAGACACAGACACAGACACAGACACAGACGCAGACACACACTGCGCTCCCCTCAGCTCCCGCGAGAGGTAGGGAGACGCGAGCCCGACGGAGTCCGGTGGGGGGGGCCCACGCAGCCAGGGACCAGTGCGGCATCGCGCCATCGACAGCTCTGAACTGCGCCTCACCACTGACCGGGAAGGCCGCCAAGTGGGTCAGCACCGGTCGCACATTGTGGCAGCAGTCAGCAGCGCATGTCTGATAGCTAGAGCAGCAGCGTCAGGGTCGCAGGGTCGGATCGTGTCAAGCCTCTCGCCCGGCCGGCCGTGTGCAGACGTCGCGGCCTGTCTGCTGTCTGGAGTGATCTGTCGGCGGTCAGTACGACCGATCAGGTTGGAGTTTTCTGATGGTCGGAGGGTCTATCTGTATGTACTCCTCGAGATCTTTCCAAATCTGCCCTCTGATTAACCTAGCTTAATCGGGAAGTCGGTGCTAGTGGAGACTAGTGGAGCCGGGGCCCCGTTTCCGCACTGCGGCGCGGCGCACGGTGCCTCCGGGGGCCCCCGCCTCCCCCCAGAGGCCTGGCGCGCAACTGGCAGTGCCCATTTTATTTCTTTCTTTTAGTGCCGTGAAAAGAGAAGCAAAAACTCCCATAGGCCATAGCCAGAGCTCCGGTGTGCACGAAGCTGCACATGTTGTACATGTTCTGCCACCACCCTCGCCCAGGGATCTACAATGCTGTCTTAAGGTCCGACAGGTTCGGCACCGGGCACCGCCTCGGTATACAAAATGCGCCTGCGGGCGGACCCTTACAGATCACAGATCACAACAACAACAACATGTACATGTTCTGTGTACGCGGTGTGTAGCGATCGCGCTCCGCCACGCGCCAGAGGACGATGAGGTGAGAGCGCAGCCGCACGCGCCCGCACGGCAGCACCAGCAGCCGCCAGCACCGAGCACGGCACACTCCACACACAACATGAGCCTTGATACGCCGTTTCTGATACTCAAAATAAACGCGAGCTCACATAGACACAGATCATGGTCGTGCGTCCACACTGACACGATTGTGAATGCCTCGCGGCCACAGCGGCCGCGCCCTGCGATTCACATCGAATCGCGGGTGCGCCCCGAGCAGGCCAGCGGCAAATCAACCAGACGCGGCGGCGGCACGGCGCGGCGGGACCCCAACCCAAGGCGGCGGTTCGAACCTTTCAGAAGGAGTTGAGCTCGGCGTCCAGCTCCGCGTCGAGGTCGGCGTCGAGGTCGGTGGAGGCGCCGTGCTCCGCGGCGGCCTCCCCCTCCCCCACCCCCTCTAGCGCCTCCTCAAACGGCTCCTCCGCCCCGCCCTCCGCCGCCGGCTCCGGCGCCGGCGGCTCCGGCTCCTCCGGCGGCTCCTCCGGCGGGGGTGCAGCCGCCTCCGCCGCCGCCGCCGCCGCCGCCGCCGCCGCCGCCGCCTCCGCCTTCGCCTCCGCCTCCGCCGCCGCCTGCGCCGCCTGCGCCGCCGCCTCCTCCTCCTCCGCCGCCGCCGCCGCGTCCGGCTCGTCGCCCAGCGGACTCTCCTCCTCCGGCTCTGCAGGTGCAGCCTCTTCTGCAGGAGCAGCCTGCGAGGGCGGTGGAGCGAGGGTGAGTCGGGGGGGAGTGGCGTGGGGAGTGCAGGGAGGCGCCGTGAAGGAAAGAAGGGGGCGCGAGGGAGGAGAGTGCGATGCGCGAGGGACGCGTGCGCCGCAACGCGTGAGAGGCGCCGTGGCGAGCGCGCGGGGCGGGGGGGCGGCCCGAGTTTGCGACGAATCTCGGGCGCATCTCGGGCGCATCTCGCGCCTCCGCCTCGGGCGGCGGCATCGCCTCGCCCTGCGCCTCGAGCTGCTTGACGTGCTCCAGCAGGTCCGACTCGTTGTCCGCCGCGTGGTCGAGGTAGATGGAGGCGGGCGCCTGGGGGGGGAGGGAAGGGGCTGAAACGGGGCGTGGGTACGGTGCGGTGCGGCGCTGCGCGTGTGTCTCGAGGGGCCGGGCGGGTGTGCGTCTGTGGTGGGTGTGGCCGCGGCCGGTAGGGACTGCGAGGCGATGGGTGTGGCAGCGCCTCGAGTCAGGGAAGCGCGCGGCCACAAAAGGGGCCCCTCTGCGCCACGGATGAAGGCGCCGCGCCCATGCGTGTGGGTTGCGCGGGCACAGGGAGGTGGCGCAAAGGCGGGAGGAAAGTGCGATCTCGGCGCGATCTCGGTCGGGTCTCGGCGCATGCCTCGTGCAGCTGGTTCTCGCCGAGCCACGCCTCGGCCTTGAGGGCGAGCTCGAGGCCGTCGAAGAGGTTCGGGTAGTCGGCCGGGTCAGCAATCGACTCGGCCGCCTTCGGGTTCACCTCGCGCAGCTGCTCCTTCCACAAGCCGACCATGCGGCTCGTCTGGCTGGGCGTGTACGTGCGCGCGAGGAAAGCCGCCTCGGGGGCGCGTCCGGCGGAGAGTAGCAGCTCGAGGCACTCTGTTGGGCGGCCGCGCAGGAAGGAGCAGAGGAAGGAGACGTTGAGCTTGCCCTTCTTGCGCGACAGCTCCGCGAGCTTGTCGATCCCCTCGGCGTGCCCCGTCGACGAGTACAGCAGCAGCAGCCCGCCCAAGTCAGCCGCGCGCACGAGGCACTCCTCGGCGAGCCTCAGGTCGGCGGCGTGCAGCGCCATGTCGCCGAGCTGCTTCCAGCGGGCCTCGGACGGTTGCTGCGTCGTGATGTCGTACGCAGTCTGCAGCTTGCCCAAGTGCACGGCGAGCTCGAAGCGGTGCTCCGGGTCGGTGGCGACGGCGAGCGCCTCCTCCTTGAAGCCCTGCGCCTCGAGGAAGCGCGCGATCCGGTTGTGCTCCGACTGCGGGATCGACGGCAGGATGGCGGCCGCCTGCGGGGGAGACGGTTCCGAGAAGGCTCCGAGAAGGCTCCGAGAGGCCTCCCGGGGGGGGGGGTGAGGGCGGGGCCGCGGCCACCTCGACAAAGTCGCGCCGCACGACGGCGGTCTGGTAGTTTAGCACGGAGAGGAGCAGCTGGTACGAGACGACGGCGTAGTCGCGGTCGAGCAGGTAGATCCGGTTCTCCTTTGGCAGGTAGCCCACGATGTGCAGAGGCCGGTCGAGGTGCTGCAGCGTCACCACCTCGCCGCCGACGGTGTAGTTGAGCCGGCCCGCCTTGGTCGTGTAAACCAGGCACTCCCCCACCCACACGCAGGTGCGCACCTGCTCGCTCACCTCGTGCACGAGCTCGAACGCCTCGTCCACCCCCTCCTCGCCGATCGGCTGGCCCGACTCGAGCGCGGCGAAGGCGACGTCGCGCGAGTAGCGCAGCAGGAAGAGCGAGTCCTCGCACACGAGGACGACCAGCTCGCCGCTCTCAGACCACTTCACCTCCTTGGGCTGCACGTCGATCCTCCGCACGAGGCGGCACTCGACCCAGTCGAAGAAGAAGGTCACCTCGCCCGACCGCACGCCGAGCAGCGCCCCGCCGTAGATGGCGTCGGCCTGGAAGGGCGGCTTGAAGGTTCGCGTCTCCTTGAAGTTCTTGAAGAGCTTGATCAGCACCGCCGACTCGCGCACCGCGTAGTCGCCCGAGTCGAGCGCCCACACAAAGTCGAGCGCCGACCCGAACGCCTTCTTGCGCCACGCGAGCGCCGTGTAGATGATGTACTCGCCGTCGCCCGTCACGACGGCGAAGCGGCCGTTGGAGTTGTGCGAGAGCCACTGCGGGTAGATCTCGCACACGTCGAGCTCCTTGGACGGGATCATCAGCCGCTCGCCTACAGGGAGGGCTCCGGGAGGGCTCCGGGAGGGCTCGGCAGCAGCGACTCGGGAACCCTCGGCCGCTCGCCGTCAACGACCTCGTGGCCCTCCACCTTTTTGAGGTCGACGGCGGAGATCTCGTTGTGCCGCGCGAGGATCATCTTGCCGCTCGAGTCCATCGAGGCGATCGGCTCCTCGTTGCCCAGCTGCACGACGATGGTGCCTACGGGGAGGGCGGTAGAGGGCTCCTAGGCGGCTCCAAGAGGCTGCTCGCTGCCCTGCAGCACGGCGGCGGCGCCTTCGTCGTACGCGAGCGCGACGTTGTTTGTGCCCTTGAGCGCGGCGATGGACCAGCAGCGCTCGTACGCGTAGTTGAAGTTGTACTCCTGCCGGTACGTGTGTGCGTGCCAGATGCGGACGGTGCCGTCCTCGGAGCCGGACAGGATGATGGGCAGCTCCGGGTGGCAGCAGACCGCGGCGACGTTGTGGCTGTGCCCCTCCATCGTCTGCACGCACTGCTTGGTCTGGTAGTCCCACACCTTGACCGTCTGGTCGTCGGCTCCCGAGACAAGGTACGGCCGGTCGCCTGACAAGAGGAACAGCCCGAGTCTCAACAAGAGCGTCAGAAACGGGTCGGAGGTGCGGCGGCCGGCGTCGCCTCCGGCAAAGTACTCGACGCAGTTGACGCCCTTCTCGTGGCCCTCGAGCGTGAAGTGGGGCTGCGGCGAGTTGATGCCCCACACCTTGATCGAGCGGTCGAGCGAGGCAGACGCGAACGTGTTGGAGTCCTTCGGGTTGAAGGCGACCTGCTCTCATAGCCGCAGGTGTGAGGAGGAGGCGGTCCCGCAGGCGCCGCCCTCCTCGCGGCGGGCTTGCCATCATGACGTAGTGGGTGTGGCCCTCGAAGGTGAGCGGGTTGGCCCAGCCCTTGTCCCAATCCCACAGCCGGATCGTCATGTCGTCCGACGACGAGAGCACCAGCGGCTGCGGCGGCGAGAGGGCGGCGGCGGTGAGGGCGGCGGCGGCGAGAGGGCGGCGGTGAGGGTGGTGGGGAGGAAGAAGGGAGGAGGCAGGAGGGAGTGGGGTGGCTAGGGACGGGCAGCAACGGATAGCGCGAGGAGAGAGGTGGATGGGGGCGGGCGGCAGCGGCGAGGCTGCTGTGCCTGCGACGGGTGCACCGCGATGCAGCGGATATAGTCCGAGTGCGCCTCAAACACCTGAGAGTGTGGCGAAGAGAGACGGTGAAGCAGGCTGGTTCGGGTGCCAGCGGACGAGTCAGCCCCCCGCAACGTCTTGCGTCTGGCGGAGAGCCGCACACGTCCCTCTGCAGCGGGTGGGCGAGCTCGCCTTGATCTTTTCGAGCGTGTTGTAGTTGTACACGCGGATCTGCATGTCGTCGGAGCCAGCGACGATCCACTGCTTCCGCGCCACAAACTTGGCCGACCGCACCGGCTGGTCCGGCGACACCTCAAACGACTTGACCAGCCCCTGCGTCGTGTGGTTCCAGATAAAGACGTGGCCGTTGTACATGGAGGAGAGCACCCACGGCTCGGTCGGGTGAAGGTCGACCGTCTTGACGCGGTCCGACCGCGACGACAGCTTCCGCTGCGGAGGGGCGGGCAGAGAGGTTTGATGCGCGCAGAGACGCTGACGCGCGCAGAGAGGCGAGGCAGAGGCGAGACGGAGGCGCGGCGCGGCCGGTGCAGACGCGCGCAGAGAGGTGAGGGAGAGGTGTGGCGCCGCTGCCGCGCTGGGAGACGGCGAACGCGACTGGACGAGGCACGCGCGACGGCGGCCCGGGTCAGGCGCGCGCCTTGATGTCGAGGCGGAGAGGCATCGTGCCGGCAGCCGCGCGGGTGTAGGGCTCGCTCTCGGCACAGAGCGCGGAGCGCTGTGCTAAACGCCGCTGTCGCACTACTTGTCTTCGGCAAGAAGAAATCCCATGTGATTGCCAGCAGCCCGCGCCGGGGTCAGCAAGAAAAGAACAGAGAGAGCGCGCGTCGCCTGCGCCATGCCCAGCAATGGCCGATGCAGCGACGACTCACACGATTCACGGCGTCCTTCATGAAGCTGAGCGCTGGGCGCCGCCCGCGCGCGCGCCCAGCGAGCGGCACGGGAGGTTTCTCTCCCACTCATCCTTCTCTGTTTCATAAATAAGTCTCATCCGCCATTTTCTGCTCGGACGCCGACGGCGACGTCTCATCCCCCTCACTCCTCTCTCTCTCTCTCTCTCTCTCTCTCTCTCTCTCTCTCTCTCTCTCTCTCTCTCTCTCTCTCTCTCTCTCTCTCTCTCTCTCTCGCCACAGTACACGCACATCTGAGATCTCTCTTGCACGGGGTCCACAGGGCGCGGGGGGACTCCCTTTTCACACTTGGAGGTCTCGCGCTTGTACTTGTCAGGCGGACGTGTCCCAGACTGGCCTCCGAGACAAAGGGTGCGACGCGTGCCCGCCCCAGCCGCTTCCCGCAAGTCTAGTATGCGCGGGGAGGCGCCAGCTACGGACTTGGACGAGTCCGCGCGCAAGAAGCGGCGGGTGGACGAGGAGAAGGATGGGGATGGCGAGGAGGAGGGGTCCGACGAGTCCGACGCATCCGGCGACGAGGTGGAGTGCTCCGAGTGCGGCACGACGTTTGCACTCAACGACGGCATTCGCTGCTCGGGCTGCTCGGAGCTTGTGTGCTACGATTGCAGCAAGTTTTGCGACTCTTGCAACGACTCTAAGTGCAGCGATTGCGGCGATTTCAAGCCTGGGGGGGACCGAACCCTCGTCTGCTATGGATGCCAACCATGGCACCAGCAGAGGCGGCCCGGGAGCGCCTATTGCTTCGATTGCAAGAGCACCCGGCACCCTGCAGGGAACTGTCTTGGCTGCGGCTGGCGCATCTGTCACCAGTGCGCAGACAACTCTGGCCTCAAGTGCGGGCATTGCAATGACTTGTACTGCAGCGCCTGCTGCGAGAAGCATGACGACTTCTGTGTCAAGTGTTGTGATCGCGATGGCATCTTCACGTGTGCGGAGTGCTGCTCGGGGGGACACAGCGACAGCGATGACGAGGGCGAGGGCGACGAGGAGTAGGTCCCGTCGGGCGGCCGTCATGGGGAGAGCTATATAGCTTTATAGGCCGGCGAGCCCGCGGCGGGGAAGGATCCCTTTCAGCGCTTCTTTCTCGACGCGCGCTCGCCCGCGCCCCTGTGGACCCCGTGCGAGAGAGATCTCAGATGTGCGTGTACTGTGGAGAGATGAGAGATGAGAGAGAGAGAGAGAGAGAGAGAGAGAGAGAGAGAGAAAGAGAGAGAGAGAGAGAGAGAGAGATAGAGAGAGGAGTGAGGGGGATGAGACGTCGCCGTCGGCGTCCGAGCAGAAAAGGGCGGATGAGACTTATTTATGAAACACTACAGAGAAGGATGAGTGGGAGAGAAACTTCCCGTGCCGCTCGCTGGGCGCGCGCGCGGGCGGCGCCCAGCGCTCAGCTTCATGAAGGACGCCGTGAATCGTGTGAGTCGTCGCTGCATCGGCCATTGCTGGGCATGGCGCAGGCGACGCGCGCTCTCTCTGTTCTTTTCTTGCTGACCCCGGCGCGGGCTGCTGGCAATCACATGGGATTTCTTCTTGCCGAAGACAAGTAGTGCGACAGCGGCGTTTAGCACAGCGCTCCGCGCTCTGTGCCGAGAGCGAGCCCTACACCCGCGCGGCTGCCGGCACGATGCCTCTCCGCCTAGCTCTCCGCCGTCCTCCGACCCTCGACATCAAGGCGCGCGCCTCCGCCTGACCCGGGCCGCCGCCTCACCCCTCAGCCCTCACACACGCACACGGCACACACGCGCGTGCGTGACGGTGCGGTGGGGAAAATAAACAAAAAAGTGACGAGTTTTGACGACACGGCGGGGCCGCAACCGAAAAAGGCTAGGAGGGGAGGTCGGGCCTCGCCCGCCCGCCGTACAACCATCGAGAAGCAAACAGGAGAACGGACCGAGCGGGGGGGGGGACCCAACCGGCGCCGGGGCAGGGAGACCGGGCGGAGGGGTTGATTGGCGACGCCGTCGCCAAGGGGGAGTGTGTGTCGTCGCGTGTCCTTGGGTCTGGTGTGTTTACTAGCTCCGAGTAGAGGGGGCGTTCTGCTGCTAGGGGAAACCTCTGGAGCGCGGTACTATCTAACCCTCGGAGACCCGTGTTTATTTTACGGCCCTTTCGCTGCGAACGCGCACCCCCAGGGCTAGGGCTCTCTTGCCCGCAACCCGATCCCGATCATCCGGCCCGCTGGGTGCGCTCCTCAGAGCTCCCCTGAGCCCTGGCTGTCAGGCTGTCAGGTGCTGTCAGGTGATCTGTCGGGCTGTCGGGCACTGTCAGGCACTGTCAGGTGCCTCTGTCAGACCAGCTGTCAGGTGCTGTCAGTGCTGTCAGGTGCTGTCGGGTGCGTGTCTGACAGGCGAGGTGATCTGTAGCTGTCGGGTGCTGTCGGAGCTGTCGGGTGTTGCTGTCAGACGCTGTCGGAGCTGTCAGAGCTGTCAGGCTGCTGCTGCTGTTAGACGTTGGGCTGTTGCTGTCAGGTGCTGTCAGGTGGTGCTGTCGGGGTGCTGTCAGGCTCTGACACACATCAGCCACACTTATGACACTATCAAGAGGGCGCTGACTATCAAGGGGGTGCTGACGCCGATGACGCCGGCGGCTACGCAGCTACCCCCCCTCCTACACGGCGTGATCACGCCGGCGGCGGCGGCCGCCTGGGGAGCGCAGATGGCGGCGCAGAGGCACAGGCGGCGGCGGCGGCACAGACGGCGGCGGCCACCCAGACGCCGTAGGCATATGACTGTAGGGCCCCAGAAGGCTAGCTGGTAGCTTCATTTGTAGTAGCACAGCCGCCGGTGCTGGAGAGGGGTCCGCAGAGGTGGGGCGGGAGGGTTGAAAGAGAGACCCATGACCATCCCATGACTACATGGACATGGACATGGACATGGACATGGACATGGACATGGACCACACTTACATGTCTTTGCATGTAATTTTGTTACACCCTCATGGGGCACAAGAAAGAGGCTCTACGGGGTCTGTGTACGGTCTGTGCTGCTGTCAGGCTGTCAGCGCTGCTGTCAGGCCACTGTGTGCTGTCGGGCTGTCAGGCAGCTGTCACAGGCTCTGGCTGTCACGTTAGGGCCTGACAGCGACGGGTCACCTCGCCTGTCAGGCTCTGCTGTCAGGCTGTCAGATACGTGCTGTCAGACTGTCAGAGAAAGTGCTGTCAGCGCTGTCAGGCTGTCGGGCACTGTCAGGCGCTGTCCGGGGTTTGCTGTCAGTCTGTCAGACCAGGGCTCAGGCCTCAGGTGAGCCCTCCCCGGCCCTGGTGCCTGGATGTGAGGTTGATGACTGCACTCCAAATGCTCCAAGTTTTGGGAGCGGTGACCCCACAGGCAATAAAACGTATCTCTCCGCCCTCACTGCAAGTAGCTCCCGAGCAGCGCCCTCCTCGTCTGCTCGTAGATGTGGAAGGTGAGGACGCTGGAGGGGAGGAAACGCGCCCACAGGGGCAGCCAGCCGCGCAGAAAGACGACCGGGCCGCCCTCGCGCAGCAGCGCCCTCGCCGCCGCCGCGGGGCTCGCGTGCGGCCTGCCGATCGTCGGCCCGGCGGTGAAGGCGGTGTAGGTGACGTCAAAGGGGCAGATGGCGGTGGTGAGGGCGAGGCTCGCCGCGAGCGACGCCGCCGAGTGCACCGCGGGGCCTACAAGGAAGGAGCGCTGTGACCAGACAGGAAGTGCCAGGAGCCGCGTCCACCGCGGCTGCCGTCGGCGAGGCCGGCGGCGCAGAGCCGCCGCTTGGCCGCGTCGTACGTGGCGAGCTGGGTCGCGGAGAGCAGCGCCCCTCGCGCCACGAGGACGTCGGCGCCGCGCCAGAGCGAGAGCACGCCGCGCTCCGCCGCCATCTGCCGCAGCGTCGGCAGCCCGCTCAAGCTGTCGACCGTCGGAGGGAGCCCTCGCCTCGCGCCCGTGAGGTAGGAGGCGCCGTCGGCAGCGAGCAAGCCCGCCTCGGCCTGAGCGACGCGAGAGGCGGCAAAGAGAGGCGCAGAGGCGATGTAGCCGAGCGCGCCGCCGAGCAGGCCAGAGGCGAACCGGCTGCCGCCCGAGGACCCGTCAGGGCTGAGCGCGTCGCGCAGCGATGGGTAGAGGCCGAGCCGCGTGCCGACCGAGATGCTGCAAGCGAGCATGTTGGTGGCGAGGCCGGGCTTCCACAGCCCGCTCCAGACGCCCTCGGACCGTACGATGTCCAGCGTGAAGGATCCGAGAGCGGCGCTGTTGCACTGCCGGATCTGCCACCGCTGCTTGACAGAGTCGAGCGGGTTCGTGACTGCAATCACGATGGCACCGGTCAAACAGGAGGCGCCAAGCTCGGGCGCGGACGGCGCGCTCGTGACGGTCCGGCGCGGCGGAGGCATCGGCGGTCGGTGTGGCGCGAGTTAAGACGGTGACCGCGGTCGTGCCAGCTCTCTCGCTGGGGAATTGAACAGACGCCACCACGCGTCTGCCACGCCCAGAGCTTGCCAGCCCGGGGCCACAACCACGCATCCGCCGGCGAGGTCTCGCGGCTGCCTTCCCCCTTGGCAAAGGTTCGTATTTCACAGAGGCAATTCCTCTCCCTCTACCTCTACTCTGCGCGTGCAAGAAGATATATATAATGTCTGTCGTGTCTTGGTTGGTGAAGTTCCCTCAGCCTCACACCTTGATTGAGCACTTGATTGAGCACTGGATAGGTAGGGTCGATTCCGCATGCATGGTACGGGACCCCTCGATCGTCTCGCCCTCCCTCACTGGTGTGTTCATTGGGGGGGGTCATAACAAACACGGTACAGGAGCGAGGACCGAGGTGCACGTGCACGCTGCCAAAGCAGTGTGTCGTCCCCCCTTCTCCATTCACCTACCTCACAGTGAGATGTGTCGGCGGCGATGGCGGTGTGACCGATCGAGCTACAAGAGGAGCTTGTTCAGCATGATCCGGGAGGGTCGAGCAGTTCCTCACTTCCACACTGGGTGAGCTTCAGACCTCGGGCCTCTCACCCCTTCACCTTCGGCTTGTGTGGATTCGAACCACCGCCGGGATGGAAGCTTCCTGCTTCCATCTACGAGATAGCGCAGCCTCTTACCTGTGTCCCAGTGCGAGGGCTGGTGAGCGCCTCTTGTGCGCCGTTGCGGGGGGAGGGGCAACGGGGTGGGGGGTGGGGGGGGGAGGCGGATTTCAGCCGGACGGTAAAGTAGTCAAAGCAACTTGAGGCCGCGCTGGTGCCCCACACACCACCCCCCATCTTCTTACAGCAGCAGCGACTGGGCCGTTTCATTGCACCTCAGGCCCGCCTCCCTTGCCTCACACCTTACGGATCGTGCAGGGCCAGGGGCTGCGGGACACATGCACATGCACATGCACATGCACATGCTACACGTCCCTGTAAAATCCCATCTCGTCTCAGAGTTTGACCGTTTAAGGTTCCCCGGGCCACTTTCGGGGGGCAAACCCTGCCCGGCCCCTAGAACCCCAGGTAAGGCCCAGGTGTGGCCTAGGGCATCAGAAGGGACCAAGAGGAGTCCAGTCTGAGCCATAGAGCCCATGTCTTTGCCCCCGAAGGTCGCGTTCAAATGCCCGGAACGGACGTTACAGTGGTCTCCGGCCGGCGCGATCGCCGAGCTGTGACGCTCAGGGAAGCCTGATGAGGTACTGGTTTCTTTGCCCAGGCCTGGCCTACGTCTACGAAAAGTTTTATTTTTGTTTTTTCGTGTCTTCCGCAATGCGCAAACCCCAGTCTTCCCCCTCTCTCCGGCCAGAGAGGCAGAGCATGGGCCAGAGAGATTCTCTGTCGCGCGTGGCCCTCTTTGTATAGTTGTACAGTACGGGCACACACACGATCTCAACATTCGCGCACAGGCTGTCACCGTGGATCGATACTCAAGAGCCGAGAATAAATGGAAGGTGTCGAGAGCACTAGGACTAGGCACCCCCTCGCGCCTCCCCGGGCTCCTCCCCCCCGCCGGGCTCCTCCTCAGGCAGCGCCATGAGCTCGTCCTCCGCGATCGGGTAGCGGTCGCACGCTCGGACGGCGGCCCGCGCGGCCGCCTTGGCCGCCTCGGAGACATACGGCACTGCCGACACCGTCTTGAGCAGCTCGAGCGAGCGGCGGAGCAGTCGAAAGAGGTCGCCCAAGTCGAGCGACGTGCCTGCGACGAGCGACTCCCACCCCTCGCCCGCCGCCCACGCCTCGACAAGCCCGCACAAGCCCGCGTCGAGGCCGACGGGGAACGAGAGGCCGGCCGCCATCTGCGCGCGCTGCAGCTCCGCCGCGCGATCCGCCAGCACGTCGACCGTCTCGTACACGGCTTCGGAGGGCGCGAACCGCACAAAAGTGTTTGGGCGCAGCCGCTCGTCGAGCGTCGCGGCAAGCACCGCCGCCAGCTGCGGCGGCTCGAGCTCGGCGGCCGCAGCCTCCATCAGCACCAGCGCGAGCCACAGCTCGTTCTCGCCCGAGAGCGACGCGACGAGCGCCCCAAACTCGGTCGCCTC